ACTTATGGCTTGTTTTCACCATGTCATTTTAAATGACAATTATAACTGACTGGTGTGTCAAATGCATTTTCAATACATGACTAAATGCGAATATGACATCATATGACTACCCGTTTCCATTATACTGACAATATTTGACACTGAAAATGACATAGTGAAAACCACAGTTGTTAAAGTGAAAACTGATCTTGAGATTTTAAGTTTAGAGTCCTTTTTTTTTTTAAAAAAAAGTAAAATAAATTTAAAGGAAAAATTTATGCCAATATGGCTTTTATGAGAACATCATCAAGTCAATTTGGGTGATCACGCTATGTAACTATTTTGTACAAATTATATTCTTTTACAAAAATGTGAAAAGCAAAAGTAAAGGGAAAGGATGTTGTAAGTTTTTGAATAAGACATATATTGGTATAACTAATAGTAGAGAGTAATTGTACCTTATATCAAAAGAGACGTAACTTATTTATAGCTTAAACAGTTTAAATGTATAATGATTAAAACCACTTTAAAGTACTCTTATATTGAACCAGAAAGCCATTGTTGTTGTAATAACAAATACATGATTCCATGCCTACATTGGTAATGTAGTCTATTTGTAAATATATATATAAACAGAAGACTAAAGATTTTAGATGTGCAAGTACTAAGCTCTAACAAAGTAGATGACTGATATTATATGCTTCGTCTTATAAACAATAATAATCAAACGATTAATTTAAAAAAAAGTGTAACCTTTTTATTCGTTGCTTTTAATTTTTTTATTTTATTAATTAATAATTTAATTATTAATTAATTTTTACGCTTAAGTTTTACAGCAGGTTCAGATATTTAATTTTCTGTTCTGCACCTATCACGCTTAACTTTACCACATTGGGCGCAAACATAATAAGTATATCTTACTTTCGGGTCATTGCCTTTTGGATTACTGCTCGCAGTAGCCATGGATCCTCCAGAAGTAGTAGGTTCATCTTTCTTCTTCTTTTTTACTTTTTTCCTGAAGTTTGTCGCAACAGTCTCAGATATATCTACTGCCTTTTTTAGATCTAATGAAAGTGGATCAGTTTGATTAATAATATCAGGTATGTCATAATATTTATCGTTTTTAATTAAATAATTGGCTTTGACGCCTTCTTTCAAAGCATGACGTAATCCATAACGCAGATACTTCCTCTTCCTACGATTAAAGCCAGGAGAGTTTAATAATGCATAATGGTATAGTTCATCGAGCAATGCAGGTGCGCCATATGCATTTAAAAGCGGGATAATGTTCACTTTTGTAAATTCAGACATTTCAGAAACTGGTTCTAAAATGATTTCAATAAAAAAGCAAGTTCTAAAATTAAAATAAAAAATTAGCCTGCACCGAGTCCGGGTATTGTAATTAGGCAATACACTGTGAGCATGGGTCGATAACCATGAAAATGGTTATGGAGCCATAACAATGACCAAACTCTAGTTAGAAGATAACTGAAGATTATAATATATAGTATAGTCGTAGATACTCTAGGTAGAGAAAAATTTGCACATTTTTAAAAGTGCAAATAAAAGAATGTGTATTTTCGAAATATTGAAATCTGTATCTAAATTTCATACTAATTATGCGTCTATACTACATATTAATAAGATAAAATTTTAAGGTAAACTTACCCGGGTTTTAAATTCTTAATTTATTTTAGAGGAAATACTTCCCAAATCATTCCTTAAAGAAACAACACAAAAAATTTGAACAAATATAATATCAAATACTATTTTTGAAATGTCTAATTGACATTTAAAGTAAAGTTTACTTTTTTTTTTTCTACTCGAATATAATTTTTTTATATTAAATTTTTCTACTAAAGTGCAATATTTTCCAAAAATTGATTTTCAAACTTTTACAGATCTATTATGGGTTTATATATATTTTTTCTGTTGTTAAGCACTTTGAAAAGCAGAAACGGAAGTTAGTCTTTATATATAAAAGCTGGTATTTGTATACGTTATACATAAGTTTATATAGGAAATACACAATATTTTCTTCAAATTCTTTGTTCTTTTACACTAGGCATTTCAACTGTTCCTTAGAAAGCATATTCGATTTGTCTTCTATCTTATATGTTGACAGAAACTGGGCTGCAGCTAGAACTTTTTTTCAGTATCAGGTTGTGTCAAAGTTGTAGGTATCACTTTATCTCCTGCAATTCACTTAAACTGAATGTGTAAATGGCAGACATTACAAATGTTTACAGATTCAAATTTACCAATGCCTCAAAAATCACCAATACCTTTATCCAAACAAATAGTCAAGTAAGTTAAGGCTCTTCTTAACTCTTTTTGAAGTGCATTGACATTCCGTATTAACTGTCAAGCAAAAACAGAGCAGTGCCTTGCTAAATACTTGTTCACATTGTGATCAATGGCAATGACAGTGTGAACGATATAGCAATGACTAGAGTTGCCATTCAACTCTGTGAACTGCCGTCGTATTATGTTATAAATTGATCCATATATGTCTCTAATAGAAAAGTATAATGAAATCAGAAAGTAATTAAAACTCTGGGCACCGTCTGCCTTAAGAATCGCTCCATCCTTAGAACTACGGTAAGGCGTTTCTTTTCTATAGAAGAGAGCTAATTATCTAATCATCATAGACTTTATTATTCCCATTTGAACAAAATTAATCTGTCTGATGAGATAGAATGCCGACTCTGATTGAGAGCACATAAGACCTTTATTTATATTTTTTGTGACTTCGACCGGCTTTGATCTAGCCTGAATACTAGCTTGAAAATACTAGCATGAGAATATTAGCTTGAGAATACTAGCTTGAGAATATTAGCTTGAGAATACTAGCTTGAGAATATTAGTTTTAGATTACTCGCTTCAGAATACTAGCTTAAGACCCAGCTTAAGAATGCTAGCTTGAGAATGCTAGCTTGAGAATACTAACTTGAGAATATTAGTTTTAAAAAGGCTTGTTTGAGAATGCTAGCTTTGGAATGCTAGCTTGAGAACACTAGCTTGAGAATACTAACATGAGAATATTAGCTTGAGAATGCTTGCTTGAAATCTTCTATATATATCTGTTATTATACAACCTTTAACATGTGACATTCCAACTTTTGATTCTTTTAATTTTTTTAACACAAAAGTTTGCATCCCCTTCGATCTGGTAAGCAGATCACTATCCTCTGGTATACTGTTCTATTCTTATTTTATTCCGTTTTGTTCCTCTTTTTTCTTTTTCATTTCATGAATATGCAAAAATGTGAAAATATTAATAAAATTATTCTTAGATTCAACAAATACAAGAGACATTCATATCTTTTTAAAAAGATTCTACAATAGTATCGCGTGGCAACCAAAAAAATTATTTAACTAAACTATTAATAGTGAAGAATGTCATTTTAAGACTTAATAACGATACAAATCGAATTAAGAAAAATGTTTCCTGTAATCTTGTTCTGTATTACTAAACATTGTATTTTTTTTTGTTTTGGTAGTTATTTAATATCTAAGAATAACTCGGTTTCATAAGTAATAGACTGTTGTCATTATGTTTATAAGTCAAAATAAGTGCACTACTTTATCATATGTCTTTGCAATTAATTCAAAATTACTGAAATCCTAACATTCTTTACAATTTGACTGACTGTCATATGAGTATATCAGTTAAGATTTGAATATGAAGTTTATTGCTTTAACTGCATTCTTAACCAAGCCATTTCCATTATCATATCAACACTGCTACTTAAAGTTGCAAACGTCTATTCTCTTCCATTTTAAAAAATCATTTTCTTGTCAAAGCAAGGCATTGTTGTTAATTTATCATTTGCAATTCACAATTTGAGTTCTTTTACTGCCATAAAATTTTCCATCCATTCCTGTCCATTTTTGTTAGTTGATAATATTTTATGCAAAGTATGTGGAAAATTTAACTTTTGCCTAGTAGTAAAGTTTACTAATTAGACTGCACAACTCATCTCAATCATCTTTGCAGCTGCACTTGTCTATTCAAGCTGACGTTAGTGTTTATTGTTCTGATATTTCCTCATTTGTTCAAATTATTTAAGTTAAAGCAGAAAATTTAAAAATGTTTTTATTCAATTAATGAAAACTTAATTTAGTAAAAAATTTATATTTAAATATCTTTTAATTTATACATTTTTTATACATATTCATGTTATTTTAAAAAATAATCCATTTGTTTTTTAAATAATAATATGCTTTTTTTTACACAATAAATATTCTTGATTATTCTTTCTATATTGTATGTAGCATCAGTTTTTAAACTATTTAATATGTAAATTGCTTAATTGTTTTGATTATAAAATAAATTTCTGTTTTTTCATTATATACAAATTTTCTTCTTGTTTAATATATTTTTCTTTTATTTTTTGCCAATTATGTATGACTAAAAAAATATTTTGGTTTTTCATTCATACATTCGACTGCAGTACTTAACAAAAGCTGGCACACAGTACGTATGAGCAATTATATTTTCATTTTCTCCAGCTAACTGATTTTCCAAATTTATATGTGCTTTTATTGAGGTTAATAAAATGTCAATAGTTTAAATGTATTAAATTAACATTTTGAACTTTTAACACAGAAAATAAGAATTTTTGTATTTTTGTACTTTTATACTATATAAACAAATTATGGTATAATATCTCTGGAAGGATAGTAAATAATGGAACTCAATTTTGATAAAATAATTTTAAAAATTAACTGCATTTTCGTTTGCTGTGATTTGTTGCAGCTGAGAACTTTTATTTTAAAGTGTGAAATTTAAAAGAATAAATAAAAAATAGTTGAAAAATATATTAAATTTACTGTCACAAATGCAAGCGTGAAAATTTACTTTCCGTGCTGAGTGCGAATTTTCACAGTTCTGCTACTTGTACGTTCCTCTCCATATAAATATTTTCCTTTTTGAGCAACTGACACATTTATTACTGACCAACCAACTCTGCAGAATGTTACACAAACACAGCGGAAACCACAAATAATTTTACTTTTCCAATGTCCTTCCGTTTCGTTTTCTTCTAAAGCTGCTGCTGCCGCCGCTGCTGTTGATGCCAGGACTGCAGTTGCCAAAAATGCGGTGGACTTTGTTAGTACCGAAAAAAAAAAATTATTAAAAATCAAAATAATAATTTGAAAGAAAAAACAGCGAATGCCAGAAAATTGTGTTGCTTGCTTAAAAAGTATTTTTTCTTATTTTGCTATTTTTGTTTTTAAAACTGTGAGTGGAAAATTTTTAATATCGAATATGACAGCAATAACCAGTGCAACGTATGCTTCCGTAGGTAAAATATCAAATGAAAAAGTCAAATAAGAGAAAATAACAATGGTGTAGGATTTTCGATATAGTCAAGTTTATAAAATCTAATTTAAATTTTAGTAGAAATGTGAAAAAATGTGAAAATATTTATATCAGATATATACATTTAATAATATATATTCAGTTGATTGTACAATTGCAATTAAAAAATTCATCATCTTCCGGATTTTAGACAGTAGAAAATTCGTAAATATTAAATATAGTTTCCATTTCGAATAATTTTTTATTCAACAGATATTTTTCAACAGATATTTTTGAAGAGATATTCGCAGGCGTAGGCTAAAAGCCTTAATCAAGTTCACTTTACAATCATTTATTTCCGTAAAAGAGAGAGATTTTCTAAACTATGATTTGGAACTATGCTAAACTCAGTGTAAACCACAGGTTTTTGCATCTATTATACAAACTTTGATAAATTAACAACTTCAAATGTTCACGAAATACACGAAATATGCTGAATGACACCTTTCAAAATATTTTGACTAGATAGGTCAATAGGAAGTACATATAAAAAAGCATTTATAAAATTATTATTTAATAGACAGTTAAGGTTGATTTTTTTTGGACTGGGTAAATGGGACTCCTGGACTCGAACCAAAAGTGATATCGTGGTATACTGATGGTTCGAAAACCAAAGAAGGAGTTGGTGCTGGAATATTTGGTCCAAACACCAGAATCTCGCTCGCACTGGGTATATGGCCCACTGTCTTCCAAGCTGAGGTTCACGCCATCGAGGTCTGCGCTCGTATCAACATTAACAAGGGGTTGAAAGGCGCCCGAATCTGTATTTATTCAGATAGTCAAGCAGCAATTAAAGCGTTATGCTCCTGGAAGTTTTTCTCAAAACTTCTAGCAGACTGCTATGACACACTGCAGCAGCTGGCAAGCAATAATAAAGTGACACTGTGCTGGCTGCCTGGTCACACAGGAATTAATGGTAATGAGTCTGCCGATAGTCTTGCACGGGCAGGATCTGCCACTATAATCTTTGGCCCAGAACCTTTTTGTGGATTAAGTTGGTCTACAACTAGGTCTCTAATCAATAATTGGATCTCAACCGAGAGAAGTCGCTATTGGCGCGACAGTCGAGGTAACCGTCAGGCTAAAGAGCTGGTTCTCCCCTACAGTTATAATAAGAAATCCTCCTTTAGCAGAATAGAGTTGAGGTTGCTAGTGAGATATCTAACGGATCACCATGGGCTGCGTTACCACCTCAACAAAATGGGCCTATCCGAAGAGATAGATTGTAGACTCTGCTTGGAGGCAGAGGAGACAACCAGCTACATTCTATGTGACTGCCCAGCTTTGATCTGGGCCAGGAGGAGATCACTGGGTCGGGAATTGCTAGCACCTTCCGACATTAGGAGGTCCTCAACAACCGACATTTTGGCCTTCATTCGAAAGGCGGAATGTCTTTTGTTCAGTTAGGGTCTGTTGTAGCACAAAAGATCAATCATGGTCGCGGTGCTCTGCTCAAATGGGAGCTAATACCCTGTTCTTTCTTATCTTAAGGTTGATTTTACAGTAGTAATCTCAATCACAAAATTGACTAAAATATTAACATTAACCAATTTGAAGATTTAAACGTGTCTTAAGTCAGTATAGAGACTATGAGTTCGGCCCTTACAGTTTGCCTTATAAATTGGTAATCAAATTTGGTAAATTCATAAGTAAGTGGTTTAGACTTAGTTACTTAGTACTTAGGTGAGCATTACAGATGTGAGTCGTCCTGAAGTCCTAAGCCCTTAGACTTACTTAATAACAGAAAAAAAATCAAGAAATTTTAAAATTAAATATTTTAACGATGCAGCTTAATGGATGTGAGCCATGTGTGAATAAATTTTTGCAATCTTTACAAATCAATGTTTGCTACGCTTGTTGAAACATTGAACTAATTCACGTATATATACTTAAATATTTAATAAGACTTTGATAGAGTTTGATGAAGACAGTTTGATAT